TTGTACTGTACTGGGGATGCTTTTGCAGCAGTTAAATGGCTGACAAACAGGCTAGTGACATACAAAGGCATTTAATCTGCTTTTACTGAACCACCTAGAGTTGAGATTGGAGGGAGGGGGAAAGAGTTACCTACCAGTCTTAGATCCAGTGCATAACTGTAACCATTCTTACAGGCCTAGCGCCTACCTTTACCAGATCTTTGTTAGAAAGCTGTTCTCTGGCAGGCTTTGTAAATGAGAAGAAACCTGGTGGTAGACTAAGGTTTTAAAAAACAGTCCATCCGAAATCTGCATCTGTAATGCATATTTTAATTCAGGCGGCAGAATGGTTACCACAAGAAAAGGCTTGTATCCTGCTTGTACAGTTATGTTTCTGAAGTCCAGCAAAACAAACTCCCAAAGATGCGGATAACGTTTGTAGACGGCCGAGACACCTGAGCCTGGAAGTAGACTGTTTGTATCGCTGACGTTTCCTAATGGAAAACAACTAAGGCCGCGCTGTCTGTCCAAGTCCAGCCCAGCATATAGGTTATAGTCCTTAGCAGATGTAGCATAGTCTGTTTTGAAATCTTTTGGGAATCAAAAGATGCTGGCGGAGGGAAGGCTTAGTTTTACTCTATACTGTGCTTCATGTTTCAGTACCTGATGTGTCTGTATATCTCCACTGTATATACAACAGCACATTGATGTCTGGTTGTCCTTACTAGTCCTAGTTTTTTTTCTGTACCTTGTCTGATAGTTCCTTGTTGCTAGTAATGGACTTCTGTGGACACTGGTGTGTCGCTAGCGTGTTACTTTTGGCTGTAAAGCTGTTGGTTTGCGGTTAGTTCTTTATTTTTTTGAACTATTTTTTTGTTCCGGTCACTGTTTGTGCTGGCGGTGGCTTTGCCTATCCGTTGCCTCGAAGGTACAGGTGGAGTAATGTCCCATTTTTGACAGACATTACTCCTAGTGTGTGCTCATGCAGATGCCTACACTGTTAAGACTGTAATTTCCATAACTGCTTCATGTGCACTAAGCCCCCTTGTGGAATCCTGCTGAGAGTTTCTTAAAGACTTCAGTGAAAAAAACTATTCTAACTTGGGGGCAGGGGATGGGGCAAGTGCTGCCCAGCCAGGGTGGGGCAAGGAGTGGGACAGAGCTGAGGCTTGTCGAGGGGGAGGGGCTTCTGTCACTGCACACCCTGGGAGGGCATGAGGAGGGTGAGGGGGGGCATGTGCCCCTGGGTCTGTATGGGGCACAGGTGGGCTGGAGCCAGGGGTGGCACCAGGCTCTTCCTGGTGCATGG